TGTGATTAGCTGGGCCAGTGTGTGCTGTGATTGTTTAGCTGGGCCAGTGTGTGCTGTGATTGGTTAGCTGGGCCAGTGTGTGCTGTGATTGGTTAGCTGGGCCAGTGTGTGCTGTGATTGGTTAGCTGGGCCAGTGTGTGCTGTGATTGGTTAGCTGGGCCAGTGTGTGCTGTGATTGGTTAGCTGGGCCAGTGTGTGCTGTGATTGGTTAGCTGGGCCAGTGTGTGCTGTGATTGGTTAGCTGGGCCAGTGTGTGCTGTGATTGGTTAGCTGGGCCAGTGTGTGCTGTGATTGGTTAGCTGGGCCAGTGTGTGCTGTGATTGGTTAGCTGGGCCAGTGTGTGCTGTGATTGGTTAGCTGGGCCAGTGTGTGCTGTGATTAGCTGGGCCAGTGTGTGCTGTGATTGTTTAGCTGGGCCAGTGTGTGCTGTGATTGGCTCCACTTGGTGCCTGGTCGGGAAATGGCACACCCCTTACCATAGCCGCCTGCGAGCTTCAGTGTAAATATTGAGTCAATATCAAATCAATTTGAGTGTGATTTAAACCCGGATGATTGTAACCACTCTAAGTTCGTCTGCCTTGGGAAAGCTAGATTGTCTCTGACATAGTGATAACACTCGTTGCTAGGTTGGCCATATGCACCGTTCATATGGGACATGTCCCGGCCAGGATTTTTATATTGCCTAAAATATCCAGGTTTTGGCTGTTTGCACTGTGCAGGTCGATCATTGTGTGACATTCATGAGAGCTATAGAGAGCAGAGCAGAAGGCTCCTTATGCTTTCGAATAGCTCTTGCACCTACATTGGGGTCTTTTTTTTTTATATAGGTGTGCAATGACGCTTCAAGTCAAACGAATGAACAAACACGTGCGCATATTTGCATTGTTTCAAACGTTCCCTGTAGATCTCACCATCTCAAGCGCAGCCACACGATTGGTCGATTATATACAATACCTGCATGTTATTGGACAAACGTGTCCCGTATGAACGGTGCATATGGCCACTTTTAGTCTTTTCAACTTCAGGGATCTTATCTATTCACGGACAGCTTGTAACACTCAAAAGAGAAAGGAAAACTTGAAATCGCATCAAATGACCCCTTTAAGGTGTCCTCGTTACAGTGTAATTATACATTTAAGTACTGAGTAATATTAATTAACTACATGTATTTACTATATGGTCAGAGTTAGTATTAGGGTTTGGCTTAGGGTTACTTGCATGTAATTATGCATAATTTATTGTTATTATAATAGTAAGTACATGTAGCAAGGACACTTTAAAATAAAGTGTTACCCCTAAATGTTATATTTCTCAGTTAATTGAACATGGCTAGATATGTTGATATTTTTAATACAATGATTTAATACAAAACATGGCGAGATATATTGATATTTTTCAGTTTATATTCACCAGACTGTGTTTATGTTCATATCTTTTGGCATTTTGACCATGAATAGTGCATGTGAGTTTTTTTTTTGTAAGAAATTTATTTGTTTATTCAGCGAGGATGCATCAAACAGTGACAGCAAAGACTTTTACATTATTTACAATCATGTTCTTTTGAACATTCTGTAAAAAAAAAAAAAAACTTTTCCACAAAAATAATAAGCAGCACAACCGTTTTCAACATTGATAGTAATAAGGAATGTTTCTATTAGAATAATTTATGAAGGATCTTGTGACACTGAAAATCGCAAAATACTGCATCACAGGAATAAATTACATTCTTAATATATATTTACATAGAAAATGGTTATTTGAAATTGTTATAATATTCTACAATATTACTGATTTTACTGTATTTTGATCACATAAATGCAGCCCTGGTGAGACTTCTTTGAAAAACAAAAACAAAAAAATCTCACCGAACCCAAGCACTAGGCATAATTGCAAGTGCCTAATCGAGTACTCGGTACTAACAAAAGACTAGTATTGTTACATGTTTCTGAAATGAGTACCAGAATACTGCCTACAGGATACACACCCACATTTGTCCTGTTCACTTGGTTCTCTCTTCTGTGCCAAGCGCCCTATTTAACATACCTGTTTACATATGTGTTTCTGTCTCCTCTTCTCTCTGTCCCAGATGCCCCATGAGTCCACAGTGGAGCACACTCACGTAGACACAGATACCGAGTCTCCTCTGGCCACACGCAACCGCCACTGTGTGGACTGCAAGGACATCGACTGTAAAAGAAACCAGCTCACACGCTCCATCAGCGAAATCAAACCGCCCCACCTGTTCGCTCAGCCGCCGCAGGAAATCACACACTGCCACGACGAAGATGACGACGAAGAGGAGGAGGAAGAGTAGATGTTTTTGACCTATCCTAGGGTAAAGATCTGTAGGGTGATGATGATAAGAGTGATGAGGATATCGTGTGAGGTTGATGGATGAAGTAGACTATAATTGCCAAACCAAGTTTAAAAAGCTTACCAGAATTCAGTTCACCCAAACTGACAGTTTCCTCCATTAAAGATAACTAATGCATAAGTTATGCAAAAAACAAAAACAGTCACTATAAAAGCACATATTGTCATGTGATAAACATCCAATGGAAACACAGTGGAAGGGATGCATACTTTACTGTGAACTGATGGTAAAACTCGTGAGTTTACAGACAGCATGCTGGCAAAGACTCAGAAAATCCAAGCCTGTTAGGACAAGTGTTAAAGTTGGTTATTGGATCCATACAGATACACGTTATAGTCATATTTTACTGTTATCGTTTTTAACAGTTTAGACATAACTTTTTAAGTAGCCAGTCCATTCGGTCAGATTAGCTTGGTTACTACCTCCTGCAAAGACTGTTCCTGTAAAAAAAAACTCTTGCGTTTTAAAGCTATGTATGTTGGCAAGGTGTTTGTGTTGAAGTCCTGCGTGTGTTGAGAATCTGAATGAAGCACAGAAAACCGAAGCACGGTTCATTGTGACGTGTGTATGGAAGTGTAGCCAACACAAGAATCCAGTTACTTGGCAACAGCATGCAGCTGCTTTTTTTTAGAGGTTTGTTGTTAACCTCTTGGTTTTCATCTATTTTAATGCAGACATTTTGGTTAGCGCTAATGCTACAGAGTAGCAAACAGATGCCTCGTGTATTAGGGCGGAAAATGAGAGACATCATATCAGTACCTGCTCTAATTTTGGCAACAATGTCACATTGAACAATGACATACTGTATTTTTATACTCTAATCTGAATGAAGCACAGAAAACCGAAGCACGGTTCATTGTGACGTGTGTATGGAAGTGTAGCCAACACAAGAATCCAGTTACTTGGCAACAGCATGCAGCTGCTTTTTTTTAGAGGTTTGTTGTTAACCTCTTGGTTTTCATCTATTTTAATGCAGACATTTTGGTTAGCGCTAATGCTACAGAGTAGCAAACAGATGCCTCGTGTATTAGGGCGCAAAATGAGAGACATCATATCAGTACCTGCTCTAATTTTGGCAACAATGTCACATTGAACAATGACATACTGTATTTTTATACTCGTATATAAGCTAAACAGAACACTAGTTTTGTCTCAAACATTACACATGCCATTAATATCTGCCTAACATAAGAAAACTATTCAAATATCATATAGTAAGTGACCTTGATATGCAAAAAAAATATTTATGGCCTGAGCAGCTTATTACACATCAGTAAATGAAAAATCATTGAGAGAAGAAGTACAATGAAGTAAACAGCTGGACATTGTGAAGATGATAGGTTGAGAAAGAAAGTGCTGTTGCTTTGGTAAATGTTTTTATAGAAATTAAAGCAGTCCTGGATAATGTTTGAACTCTGTCAATGGTTTACTCCTATGTGGACCAAACGGTGTTGAGAAATTGTGTTCGGTTTAGCTTCAAGGGTCCCATTAGAGACTTTTAGGTGTCTCCACAGCAAGTATGTGGAGTTTTTAAAGAAATAAACATTATTTTTGAGTATAATGGTGGTTCACGGTTTAGAGAGGAAGTGGTTTTAGCTGTGGGAAGTGTTTCAAGTGCATGAAACATAGATTAGGATGATTAGTGTGACTTTTATATGCATTACTCAGAGATAGTATGTAGGATCTTTTTGAATGAAGCTACCCAATCCATAGTGTAATGTGTATTACCCGTATGCATATTGTAACTGTATGTTTTTTTATTTTATAAGAATGTAGTTTTGTTTTGGTTTTTTTCCATGAGTCTGACTGTCAGTTTTTAAAAGGGAAGACCAAATAGGTCTAAAATATAAAGGTTTTTGGTGAGGCCCAAAAATGGTTTCTAGGTTTTCAAAAGTCGGTTTCCAAGGAATCAGTTAAAGAGACGTTTTTAAACATACAATGCATATTTTATTTGTCAGTTTTTTGTGTAAAAACAACTGGACATCCTAAAACGGGGCAGCTCTTTCGAAATATACTTGTTCTTGGTTCTTTAGAGACCACAGTATAGAGAAAGTGTTTTTTATGTCCTAAAAAAAGATGCAGTATCTCTCTTCCCTCTGTTTTCATTCGCTTTTTATATAAAAACTCAGTGTTGTGGGTGTGTATATATACATAATACGGCCAGCTCCCTGGACATGGATTAAAACTAGTCCTGGGCTAATTTGCACTAGTGTTGGCAGTTGTCCTTTTTAGTTGTCTATGCAAGGGAAACTGGCTTAGATTATATTTTAAAATAATATAATAGAAAGTGCATTAAGTTTAAACAATATTTGTCCAATTTTCCCAGTAGTGTATCCTAGATACATCTTTAATGGGTGAAGGTCTCATCAGTATAGTCATAGGTAGCATTGCATATATCTCTGTTTGAACCAATGTTTTCATATTATATTTTGGCATAGTTTACAGAAAACAGTAGTAGCGTGTTAACTGTGCCAATAACTTACTAATATACTGAGTATTTGTTCCTTTCTGTTTTTTTTTTTACCTTTTTGAATGAATTACTTTTTTGTGACTTTATTTTCTAGTATTCAGTTTAGCGAAAGGAAAAGGTGCAAAACTGTTCTGTCTGTAAAAGAGATCTAGACATGGCATTTATGAATCCAATTTTTTGTTTCGTTTCGTTGTTTGTTTAGGGCACGTGATTTCATGTCTCCGATTTCATTGTTCCCTGAATTATTATAGCTTCTGATTTATAGTTCTAAACTTATACATATAGGAAATTGCGTTGCAATGTCAAATAAAACTAATTTTCAATAATAACTATTGGTCTCCTGTCTTGTTTACTTCGTTAGCATTTAACTACATTTATATGCCATAGCAGGTTTTCTGTTTTAGAATAAAGAAGAACATGGCATGCTAACTAGCCTAAACTAGGATGATACGCTGGCCATTCAGATTCTATTACTGATTTCCACAGTGACATTTGTCTAAAATACCTCTTCACATACAGTGGGGCAAAAAAGTATTTAGTCAGCCACCAATTGTGCAAGTTCTCCCACTTAAAAAGATGAGAGAGGCCTGTAATTTTCATCATAGGTATACCTCAACTATGAGAGACAAAATGAGAAAAATTTTGTTATTGACCAAATACTTATTTTCCACCATAATTTGCAAATAAATTCTTAAAAAATCCTACAATGTGATTTTCTGGATTTTTTTTCCTCATTTTGTCTCTCATAGTTGAGGTATACCTATGATGAAAATTACAGGCCTCTCTCATCTTTTTAAGTGGGAGAACTTGCACAATTGGTGGCTGACTAAATACTTTTTTGCCCCACTGTATGTATGCTGCATATTACAAAATAAATATGTTGGAGCATGATGTGAAACACTCAAACAAACCAATTTCTTGAGCAACATGAGCCGTACACTGTCCTAACCAGTCCTGACAGATCATCTGAAAGCAAAAATGCTGGGATGTAACAAACGCAGTCAGTCAGAATATATTTGATTTTAATATGCAGATAAAGTAATGGACAGAGTTACCAGGGTGATGTGATGACCGAAATATCATGTTGTACATCTGTTGTTAGGACACAGTTTTTAAGCTTACAGTTGTAGGATTTCGTTTAAAAAAATGCGACCAGTTGATTTTTAGGACAGAACAGCACAAAACACAGTACCACAGTGAAACTGATGAATGTTTAATAGCACTTTCTATAACCATTTTTTCTCCCCAGGGTTTACATGTTAGTTACAAAGTAGCTACAATTCATTAACAAAGCAAATTAGAAAAAAATTGAAAAAGCCAGAACCTGTATTTGAACCCCACAAGAGCATCTGTCTAGCAAAAAAAAAAAAAATCAAAGTTGGCTTTCATTTACTAAATAAAGCCCAACAATCTCTGATCTCACCTCAAGTAAAATCTTTGGTATAAAGAGAAACAGTTTTAAGATTACAACCTTGTCGAGGTTTAGGCTAAATTGTTAGACCACAGGGCCAAGCAGTGGCTGCCTGTGGTACTGACCCATGTATAAATAATACAAGTAATGCATTACTGTTGTTAATCTATTGTGGTTCAAATAAGCATTTGAACACATGAAAACATCAAGGGCAATGTCTTAAAAGCTGCCTGAATCAGTTTTACCACAAAGTCTGACATTGTAGAAACAGGGTCACGCAGCTGCCACCTATAACAACATATAGGAATAGTTATAGGAATAAGTTGTATGCTGTTTGATGATCTTGGCGGTTGGGTCAAAAAAGAAAAAGAAAAAAAGTACGGCAACGGAGAAAATATAAGTGGTTCATCATTAAAGGAATAGTTCACCCTAAAATGAAAATTTACTGAAAATGTACTCACCCTCATGCGATCCAAGATGTAGATGACTTTGTTCCTTCATGAGTACAGATTTAGAGAAATGTAGCTTTACGTCCATTGCTCACCAATTGATCCTCTGCAGTGAATGGGTGCCGTCAGAATGAGAGTCCGAACAGCTGATAAAAACAATAATCCACAAGTATGTCCACATCCACATTTATCCACATGTCTTGTGAAGTGCAAAGCTGCGTGTTTGTAAGAAACAAATCCATCAAGATGTTTTTTTTTACTTTAAACCACTGCTTCTGGCCAACATATTAGTTTATAATCCATAATATTGCTGTCTCCAGTAAAATTCACCCCCCATTGTACTCAAACATCAAAATCCACCAACATATTTGTTTAGAGCTGTTTTTGCATGCAAACAGTGCTTGATCTGTGCATATTTCTCTCTTGATTCAGACAAGATACCTTTTTCACTGGAGAAAGCAACATTATTATATGATACAAATAATATTTTGGACTCTCATTCTGACGGCACCCATTCACTGCAGAGGATCCATTGTAAAATTTCTTCAAATCTGTTTCCACGAAGAAACAAACTCATCTACATCCTTGGATGGCCCTTAGGGAGAGTACATTTCCAGCAAATTTGAATTTTGTTTGTATAAATGTGTGTAATTCTAAACACATATGCATAGCAGGAGTTTCCAGCATTCATATAAATAAAAATTAAAGTCAACATTATATACATAAAGGTAATACACACAAGTATAGCCATTTACACATTACGGCACCTTTCTTAGACGCATAATGGGTAGAACAATTTAATGTAGTAGTTGTTTTAATGATGTGGTAAAGACTCGTTTTGTTACAGCCTGGATTCAGTTAGGAATCGCACGGAGGCATGTTGATTCTCCCTTGCATAAAGTCCTGACAGGTCTGTCATTTAATTTAAATAAGACTGCCTTCAGCTTTAAATGTAAAGTTATTGTGCCTTTGATAGAATTAAACATTTTAAAGCAGACAAATAGGATCTGTTCATCCTTGGAAGTGAATCCAAAATATCTCAGACCAAACATACAAATGTGATACAATACATGCATACAAATAGGACTATAATGTACAATACTGTAATCATGATAAATCATCTTTTAAATAAAATGTTTCATTGCACTTGTTAAAAAATTAATGATTTTTTTAAGGCAATAGAGTGATTCATTTTTTAAAAAGGTGTAAAATGTACTATGGGATATACCAGCTTAAAAATAAGCATTTCTGAAATATACATGTAAAAGACCCTCACCGGAACATATACAATAATGTATTTGCGACTATGTATATATATATATATATATATATATATATAGCATGTGCATGATATCTGTGACACTCATAGAGGCACACACATACACATGCACAATTTACAAACTGGTGCTTGCATGTGCCGACAATTATATCCTCAGACATGCATGTATGTACAAATGCATACAAAATAAATAAATATGTGAGTAGAATGCTCTTGGTTCACGATTCACGGTTTCCTTCAAAGCAGCATTTGGAACAGTCTTTGATTTACCCTATTACAGCATCTGCATCTGGAGTATTTCTTTTGTGTTTGTGAACATCACGGGGCAGTTCGAGTGTAGCTAGGGGCTCGTCAGAACACAAAAACGTCCATCCTCAAAACTCTTAATAGTCTGGGGGACATAAACGCTGTGGTTTATCTGAATGAATGGGACCGGACCGGGCCACTGGAGTATCCCATTTTGCCTTGGGTCAACCCAAGCTCAGGTCCCAGTAGTAGTAGTGCACTACAAGAGTGGAGTGGTTTGGGGTGGTGAGCATCAGCTTTGCTCCACCACCCCACTGAGGGCTAGATGGCCCCCTCGCTGTGGCCTGTGTGGTTCGTCTTGTTGTGGGCCACACAGTTCTGTGTCTGGTTGAACAGGGTGGCGGTTTCATCAGTCACTCCATCATGGAGGTCTGTCAAAGTAATTTCGATTTTGGTGTACTCGCTCTCGGAGGACTGTGGCGTCTTGTCCATGCGTGACGCCATGATGGCGTTCTGATACTGCTGGCGCGTTACCTGTCAATAACACACAGAAAAGGGGGTTACAAAAAAACTGGGTTAAAACAAGACAAAATAATTAAAATAAGGTTAGTGTGAATTTAGATTGTACATTCAATGTAGCCATTCTCTAGTTACAATTTGCAATGTACGGTTACTTCCTCTACAGTCAAAAATCTGCGTGTTATATTAGATAGCAACTTGTCTTTTGAAAATCATATTTCCCATGTTACAAAAACAGCATTCTTCCATCTTAGAAACATTGCCAAGTTACGAAACATGATACCTGTTTCTGATGCAGAAAAGCTAGTTCATGCATTCATGACCTCTAGACTGGACTATTGTAATGCACTGCTAGGTGGTTGTCCTGCATCTTCAATAAACAAGCTACAGGTAGTCCAAAATGCAGCGGCTAGAGTCCTTACCAGGTCAAGAAAATCTGATCATATTATGCCAATTTTACAGTCTCTGCACTGGCTACCTATTAAGTTCCGTATCAGTTACAAAATATTATTACTTGCCTATAAGGCCCTTAATGGGTTAGCTCCTGCGTACCTAACTAGTCTTCTACCATGCTACAATCCATCACGCTCCCTAAGGTCGCAAAATTCTGGACTTTTGGTAGTACCTAGGATAGCAAAGTCCACCAAAGGAGGTAGAGCTTTTTCGCATTTGGCTCCCAAACTCTGGAATAGCCTTCCTGATAACGTTCGGGGTTCAGACACACTCTCTCTGTTTAAATCTAGATTAAAGACACATCTCTTTGGCCAAGCATTCAAATAATGCATCTCATAATCTTTTACTGCAGTCATAATCTTTTACTGCAGTTATATCAACTCACATGCACATTATTATTCTTTAGTTTGGGTTAAACAAATCAATTTTGCTTGGTTGGAACAGCAGCTACGCTAATTATGTTTGTATTTGTTTCTCTGTCTTTTGCCACGGGATTAACATCCCGTGGTAACTAGGATTTACACAAGCTTCAGTCTGGATCCAGAACACCTGAGAAGAGATGATGCAACTCCTCAGAGGACCTCAGATGATGCCAACCCTGAAACAACATCCAGAACTACCACATTTTGCTATAAGTTTGATTGCATCATATAATAATTGCTGTTAATATTGTTCATCGTCTGTTTTATTACGTCTTATATTGATTTTTCTGTACTGCTGGTTCGTCTGGTCAGAGGAGAACTGGCCCCCCGACTGAGCCTGGTTTCTCCCAAGGTTTTTTCTCCATTCTGTCACCGATGGAGTTTTGGTTCCTTGCCGCTGTCGCCTCTGGCTTGCTTAGTTGGGGACACTTCATTTCCGGTGATATCGTTGACATGATTGCAAAGATATTATTTAAACTGAACTGAGCTGGATGTTGACATCACTGAATTCAATGATGAACTGTCTTTAACTGAAAAATGAGTGTTTACTATTGTCACTTTGCATTATTGACACTATTTTCCTAATTAATGCTGTTCAGTTGCTTTGACACAATCTGTATTGTTAAAAGCGCTATATAAATAAAGGTGACTTGACATTCTCTCATTCTCTTTTGCAAAGTCATAGAAATACATGGATTTTTTTCATTTGCTATTGGGACAAACCAAAAATGATATTTGTTGTAGTTTCCATTCACCACTATAGAAGTTTACCAAACGATGACGACTTGCACTTTTGAGAACCTGGAAATATGAAATTGGTATTTCCATTGGAAATTGGTTCTGATGTCTTTTATTTTGGAATTTCAAAATGATCTGCTCATCGTCCACTCTTCTCTTTTACCCTCAAAAAGAAACATGCTCAGTGTAGTTTTTTTACTCCCTCATAACCACATAAAGTGTTTACTGTATATCAGACTGAAATGATAAATGACCTTATTAAAGATAAACTACATCCTGCCTTGTAAAGCCACTTTACCATGATTGATTATGTCATGCTTCTGATCCAACTAAGCATTTAAATATCGTCTTACTAAGATATTATTTGGAGATACAGAGTGACAACTGATATTTCTATCATTTTAAGCAAGTAGTCTGGATTAAAACAGCAGATGTAAATGGGAATGTGTCTCCCTCGTCTACTTGTGATCCAATTCGACCAAAGTGCATCTTAATACCAGGTGTAAACAGGGCCTACAGTATGTTTCCATGAATAACTTTTAACATCCATGGAACCTTTTCATAGCACAAAAGGTTCTATAGAGGGGAATGATTCTACAGAATATTAAAATCTTCCACACACTAAGAAAAAAAAAATTCACTGAAAGGTTATTTGGGGAGCCTAAAATGGTTCTTTTATGGAATCGCTGTGAAAACCCTCGTTTGGAACATTCATTCCATGTATCCATCTGCCACAGACCCCTACCCACTGCCTAAGTCCATATCTATCCCAGTGCTAACACTCAAATCCACATTTGTCTTTGAGCCAAAGCCATTGGTTTGTAACTGAGCCACAGTCCATGTTCATCACTCAGCCATAGCCACAATCTACCAATGGACTACAGCCATTGGGCCACAGTTTAGACCAGGAGTCCTCAACTCTGGACCTCAAGATCCAGTTTCCTGCAGAGTTTAGTTCCAAACTGGATTAAACACACCTAACTGCAACTTTGGTCAGCTTGCTCAGGTGTGTTTGATTAGGGCTGGAGTTAAACTCTGCAGGAAAGTGAATCTTGAGATCCAGAGTTGAGGACCCATAATCTGAGCCCCAAGCCAAACAATGGGTGCCACAATGGTATAAAAAATGTGCAATTAACAGCTTCTGAAGAATTACATGATTTTGTTTCGGGTATATTGGTTGTAATGACAAGAAAATGTGCAGAAACTGAAAGTGAGCTGGTGTGTTTAAGTAATTCTGTTTACCTTAATATACTGTACGTCTGACAAAGCTCTGACAGAATAGTCCGGCACATACATCTGCAGGAAGGCATTGAGCTGGTGGTTACTGCTGCCCAGTGACGGTGTGATGGCTTCAATCCGCTCGCTACGATTTAACGAGTCAGAATGGTTCAGTCCAAATGACCGAGGGGGGGATTTGTTTTCTGCACAGGAAAAAGGAAAACATCATTATTTCATCATTGAAAAACAAGCACATACAATCAGGGGTGCAGAAATGATCTTGAAAGGCAATGTATAACTTATCAGTCTTTCTCATGAATATTAATTATCTGACTTGTTGTTTGACCAGCCTGATGCAGCAACAATGGCTCAACCAGTGGCGCTGAGTTAGGGGCCGGACTATCTGTTTGCACGAGCTTTAGCGGTGTGTTTCCAACCTGTTTAAATGTACACTATTTCATTCAAAAGTTTGGGGTCTTTTTTTAAGAAATACTTTCATTTATACTTTTATTCAGCAAGTATGCATTTAATGAATCAAAAGTGACAGTAAATACATTTATAATGTTACACACACACACACACTGTTCTTTTGAACTGTCTATTCATCAAAAAATCCTGAAAAAATTGTGTCATGGCAGCACAACTGTTTTCAACATTGACAATAATAAAATGTTTCTTGAGCGACAAATCAGCATATTAAAATATATTCACATAGAAAATAAATAGAATAATATTTCACAATAGTACTGTATTTCTGATCAGATAAATGCATTTGGTGAGCATAATGGACTTCTTTCAAAAATATTCAAAGATCGCACCACTATGACCCAAAACATTTGAACTGCAGTGCATGTTTGTAGATATTCATGGCTTTTTTAGTGCACTAAATCCTTCAGTTACTAGACCCTAAATTTATAGAGACACTAAGTAGCATATGGTATATTATTATTTTATAATAGCTTGTAACAGCTTTTTAGAACTCAATAACAGCGTCGTTATTTATGAAGGGGGTGTTTCATGTATGTAAAGTGTTGCCGCTGGCAAGAGTATGATAAAAAGCCTAAGAGCTTTCAAAGTGAAGACTGGCTTGTTTTTAATTAAACACAGCTTATGTTTTCCACTTCATAAAGAGGGGGGAAATTTACAAGTCCACACACACAAACATTCTCTTTACTCACACACACACTAATGCTTGCTAACAGACATTTAATTTTTCACACTTTCACACTTCAGTACATACATTTATTCTTTCTTTCTTGCTCTTACACATAAACACACATGCGCATGTATACACACACTGGTTTCAAAAGCGGGGGTGTGTTAATGCCACAATTTGGTTGGAATGTATGTAATCCGTGTTTGGATGTGTGAGTGGAGTGAGGGAGCCGCCGCGTCTTTAGTTCAAGGCTCCAATGCTGGCCTGAAGGGGCCCAACTATGAACCCTACATGCTGGTAGTCAGCATGAGGTATGTGAGAACGGGGAACAGTATGCGTGTGCATGTGTGTGTGGGACGTTCGGTACAGAGGTGTGTGTGTGTGTGTGTGTGTGTGTATGGCCCCCGCTGTCGCCCTTTACTCCAGGAGGCCTGTGAAGTAAGAATGTGTGGGAGGGATTCTGTGGGTTTACTGTAATATACAGCACGGTTTACAATGAGTCACAGACAGATGTCTGACCTTCACATTGTTTGATTAGTCACAAATGATTCGGTCATTGCTTCAACTGGACAATAAGCATCGAAATTATGGATACGGATGTTGAGCCGTACAAGGATGATATGACTTGTCAAGAATGTTGGTTTAACTATACCTGGAGATCCAGCAACAGACTCAGCCCTACTGACCACAAAGGTACGAGACAGTGAGAGAGGAACTGCAGAGAAGAATAAAGAGTAGGAAGAAGAGGAAAGCATCAAAAAAAGGTGGGAAACAAAACTACAAAGTGACTAAAAGGTAGAACTGAAGGGAAAAGGACCGAAAGATATCACTAAATATTACTTATTTTAATCTGAAAAAATAAGAAAAGATTCTCTTTTCCTCCATAATTAGGCACTCTTAGTATTACTGTAGGCCAAAGTTGTCACCACCAGAGGTCACCTATGTTCTGTGGCATTCCCCTAAACTAGCACATGGACACACTTTAGTAGAAGATTCAACTCCTGCAAATTTCTGATTAATCTAAAACTGTTCATAATAATTTGAAAGCACTTCACCATCATTTCAAAATAGCTAGTGGATGCTTCTCCTCAAAGACTTTCATGTATTTTTATGTTCTGTTGGATAAATGAAATATTATGATTTCTATTGTACCTTTTATAATATAACTAGTATATTATAGTATAACTATGATTTATGTTAGCAAAAAGTCAGCAGCCACAGGACTACTGGAGTAATTTTATATCATGTCAACATATTTTGGCAGTATATAAGTATGAAAACTGGTTTATTATCCGGATAATCAAGTGTTTATTTAAATAAAATAAAAAATAAAAACACTTTTTGTATAATGCTGGCATCAGTCCATAAACATCAGCTTATAAAATGACTCAAAACTGTAAAAACATTATAAAATGCACAAGATGGGCCACATTTGATATACAAATACTGCAAGTTGCTTGACACTATAGAGTATGTCTAATAAACTATAATAGTTAGCAAAATATTTGTGTATTATGATTAATAGCAACAACAATTCCATTCATCCATCTTGTCACACCACATTTTTTTTAAAAGCATAAAAAAAGACTCACTCTGTATTGCTGGTGATAAGTGCAAAACTATGTGTACTGTGAAATGAACATAGCATAGCAGAATCGTAATCATTTCACAGGTTTCTTCTTCCACAGATGTACTATTTACCATCATATTGCTCGCCCCTACAGATTACAGTATCAGTACTTTTAAAAAGCTACAAGACTAATGACAGTCCTAAATTCTCTTGCCATTTGACCTCTGGAATGAGACCTTCTGAAATATGCTGTTATTTTTTTTAATGTCTGAATCACAATCTTCATATAATAATGCCTGACTGGGAATAGTACAAAGTACAAAGATCTTCAAAGTATGTTTCCCCGCATACTTTTTGGACTAATACAGCCCACAACCTTCTGCACTATTGCACGGTATGTGGGTGTATCATGTGGTATCAAGATAATTTTGCATTGCGGTATTATTCCTTAAAGGAACAGTTCACCCAAAAATGAAAATTTGCTGAAAATGTACCCATCCAAAATGTACGTAGTTAAGCTTGTTGCTCACCAATGGATCCTCTGCAGCGAATGGGTGCCATCAGAATGAGAATACAAACAGGTGATAAAAACATCACAGTAATCCACATGACTCCAGTCCAGATGCTAAAACAATCAAACAAATTAATCATTTAAGTTGTTTTAACTTCAAACCATTGCTTCTGACCAAAATACGAGCTTCCTCCAGTGAAAAAGTCCAATCTCTGTTGTCCTCTCACATCAAAATCCACCAATATATTTATTTAGAACTGTTTTGGACTTGTAAACGGTGCCTGATCTGTGCATATTTATCTCCTGATTCAAACAAGACTTTTTTTTTTACTGAAAGCAATATTATGGATAGAGGACTTCAGCCGGAAGCAATGATTTAAAGTTTAAAAATGTCTTAATTATGGTTTTGTTTCAAACACACATCTTTCCACGTGCATTACTTGTGGATTATTGTGATGTTTTTATCAGCTGTTTGGACTCACATTCTGACGGCACCCATTCACTGCAGTGGATCCATTAGTGAGCAAGTGATGTAATGCCAAATTTAGGTCCATGAAGAAACAAACTCATCTAAATCTTGGATGGCTTGAGGATGAGTACATTTTCGTTTTTGGGTGAACTATTTCTTTAAAACAAAAAAAAATATTTGGATTTAGTTGTGTTTACCTGGAGTCGCGGTGAGAGCCATCATCCCATAGGAGGAGAAAGCTCCAGCTTCAAACTTCATTCCCTCCTTCCCTGCCTCCACCTCCACCTTCCCCTTAGAGAACATATTACATTGAAAACCAGACGTTCAATATATCTAGGAATGTTTTTTAAGCAACTTCAAGTATATACTGTTAATACTGACGGAGATTTTTAGTTTCAGTTTTTCCCTTTAGAAGTTAGGTTGTCTTTCGCAATACTCACTACAATATTCTTCTTTCACATACACTCTTAAAAATAAAGGTGCTTCACGATGCCATAGAAGAACCTTTTTGTCTAAATGGTTCCATAAATAACCTTTAACACCTAAAGAACCTTTCTGTTTCACAAAAGGTTATTTGTGGTGAAAGAAGGTTCTTCAGAATATAAAAAGGTAATTCAAACACACATCTTTCCACGTGCATTACTTGTGGATTATTGTGATGTTTTTATCAGCTGTTTGGACTCACATTCTGACGGCACCCATTCACTGCAGTGGATCCATTAGTGAGCAAGTGATGTAATGCCAAATTTAGGTCCATGAAGAAACAAACTCATCTAAATCTTGGATGGCTTGAGGATGAGTACATTTTCGTTTTTGGGTGAACTATTTCTTTAAAACAAAAAAAAATATTTGGATTTAGTTGTGTTTACCTGGAGTCGCGGTGAGAGCCATCATCCCATAGGAGGAGAAAGCTCCAGCTTCAAACTTCATTCCCTCCTTCCCTGCCTCCACCTCCACCTTCCCCTTAGAGAACATATTACATTGAAAACCAGACGTTCAATATATCTAGGAATGTTTTTTAAGCAACTTCAAGTATATACTGTTAATACTGACGGAGATTTTTAGTTTCAGTTTTTCCCTTTAGAAGTTAGGTTGTCTTTCGCAATACTCACTACAATATTCTTCTTTCACATACACTCTTAAAAATAAAGGTGCTTCACGATGCCATAGAAGAACCTTTTTGTCTAAATGGTTCCATAAATAACCTTTAACACCTAAAGAACCTTTCTGTTTCACAAAAGGTTATTTGTGGTGAAAGAAGGTTCTTCAGAATATAAAAAGGTAAGAAAGAGATGGTTCTTTAAAGAACCTTTGACTGAATAGGCCCTTTTGCAATGCTTTAGTTCCAGAACTAAATGTACAGTAATAAAGTACTGGAACGATTTTGCGGGAACTATTTCCCAGTACCATTTAAAGGGTTGCATTCGCACCGACAGTGTGTACTAGGAAGTGACGCAACAGCGACGTCATTTGTGCGCGGCTTTCAACAACAGAAACAAAGAACAACATTAACAACAGGAGGATGGAGGACGCTGTGATCGGAGCAGTTTCACAATAATGGACATGGAAAGTCGACATATATGTAAAGCGATTAAAAGAACGGAAAGGAGGACTAAGAATCTCCAACGACAACTGGCAGTGCTACATTTGCTACAGGTGCCTGCACTTCAGCATCCGTCCATCTATCTCTGGTCTCCATACTTGCGAAATAAGTTGACACAATGTTTACAGTATGTTTACACGGCGTTTTAAATCATGGCGGTGAGGGCGTTTTTGTACGCGTTTGGCCAATCAATGTCTACTTGCGTCACGATTAGTACCAGTTGTGCTGGCTAGACCCTGCTCCGGAGTAGGAGTTAATTTGGTTCTCGAAAAAGGCAGTCCGGTACTAAAATCGCTCCCAGTTCTGGCGGTGCGAAAACGCCAAAAAGTGGGTAGTTCCACAATTAGTTCTGGTACTATGAAAAGATTCCTGCGGTGCGAAAGACCCTAATGGTTCTTTGTGGAACCAAAATGGTTCTTCTATGGCATCGCTTGAAGAACCTTTTGAAGCACCTTTATTTTTAAGAGTGTAGGGACATTAGTTGAAACATTTCATACTGGGCGTGTTAAATACTTGTGAAAATCCCAGCTTGTTCTAGGCTAATAAGCTCAATCCCTTCTCTCTATGCCTTCTGCGGCCCTGGACCAAACAACCAAGCTGACCTGCAGAATGAGGATGAAATAGTCCACAGGCTTGTTGCGGTGGAAGAGGTAATGTTCGATGGCCTTCTTATTCTTCTCATTATATTTGAGCTCCTGGATGACGTTGGGGTGCTTGAGGAGACGTAGAAGGATCTTCTCAGACATCTGGCTTGGACTAAATGCTTCTACTTCTGTAAAGCAAAAGGAGACATGATCATCATCTTCGTGTTCCTGTGGGTTGTTTGCACTTGAAAATGTTAACTCAGGGCCATTTTAAGGTAATATTGCATTTCCTGGTTTCAAAAGATCACACGGTATATTAGTAAACCTTGGGATAATGATATTCTAGCATTTTTTGGACAAATAGTAAGTTTCAATAACTGCTTATCCATCTGTGAAAAGATTGCCTTGTGAATCTTCTCTGACCATTTGAAGTCTTCTAAAACATACAAACCAAACACATTTTTTTAAACTCCATTTAATGTCTTCAATTGTGTGCATGAAAGTTTCTGTGAATATTTAATGACGTATGCAGTGTTTTGTCCATTATGATGGTTGTCTGTTGCTAAATAACTCTTTGTAACATTGTTCTGTTTACAAGTATCTGTGTAATCTGGCAGCTGGTCTCTCCTTGACCAGGAAACGCTAATAGTATTGTATTTGTTAATCAATGATTAGCGTAAGCCACAGGAAAGTTCTCACCAAATCCTGGTATTAGGTTTAAAGGGGAACTCCAGTCAGAATATGTTTGGCATGCCCTTTTTGTCTCTATTATACACAACCACCCTTGGGACCTTTTAACAGTGGCTTGATCGTCAGTAAAGCAAAGGGAAATGACTCGTAGGAGGTTGTGCCAAATGCCTGAACATGCCAGCAGTTATACAACAATATAATGTGCATTACCATTCATAAGTTTTCGCCTATACTCTTCAAGCCTGCATTTATTTGATACAAAATACAGTAAAAACATGATCAATGTTGAAAACAGTTGTGCTGCTTCATAATTTTTGTAGAAATCATAGACAGACAGACAGACAGACAGACAGACAGACAGACAGACAGACAGACAGACAGACAGACAGACAGACAGACAGATAGATAGATAGATAGATAGATAGATAAATCATAGAATCATAGACAGACAGACAGACAGACAGACAGACAGACAGACAGACAGACAGACAGACAGACAGACAGACAGATAGATAGATAGATAGATAGATAGATAGATAGATAGATAGATAGATAGATAGATAGATAGATAGATAGATAGATAGATAGATAGATAGATAGATAGATCTAGTTGCAAGGTAATAATTGTATTTACTTTTTATTAAAAATTAGGAATTTTATTTGAAAAAAAAAGTTTTATGAAACAAAATGTGGTAGTTAGAGAGAATCAGAGAAAAAAAAGAACAGCTGAGATTTGCCTATATATTAAAAATATTTTTAAAACTGCTTCCGGTTCCAAGCGCTCCATCAGATGCCACAAGAAAGCAATAAACATTGTTACTAATATACATTTATAACGGTGCAAATATACATATTTTTAAATGCTAATAAATAATAATAATAGTGCTCATAAATGGCTGTTAGATCGTATTCTCAAGTGAAACAATTAAGAGTCTTGGACCCAGAAACAAAATTTCTTATGTCATGACTTAACAAGCGGATAATAAGAAATGTTTCTTGAGCAGCAAATCAGCATATTAGAATGATTTCTGAAGGATCATGTGACACTGAAGACTGGAGTGATGATGCTGAAAATTCAGCTTTGCACCGCAGGAAAAAATTACATTTTACCATAGATTACAATAGAAAACACTTCTTTAAAATTGTAATAATATTTTTCAGTATCACTGTTTTTACTGTATTTCTACTGTATAAATGCAGCCTTGGTGAGCAGAAGAGACTTCTTTCTAAAACATTACAGAATCTTACCAACCCTAAAATTTTGAACTGTAGCGTATGTTATTTATCTAATATGATATTTCATGTTTAATCAAATTGTTTCCACTGCCTGCTTTTAAAAAATATATATATATCTGTCAAAGCAGTACAGCGACATAACCTTTGACAGCACAGCAGAAAACCATAACAATCCTACTGTGGCTTTTACACAAAATCTTTTTCCTTTCTTAGAGAAACACACATTATGAAACCGAAAAGTGAAAGAGAAAGCTCTCTTGCCAGCGTCAAAGATGTTTTTAATTCTTTCTCTTAGCTGTTTGCTCAAAGGCATTCTTTTATACGCTAACCCAAACAAGCTGCTCCTCTCTAAATGCAAAACCTTAGAATGCAAAAAAACAAACATCAACATCATGGCACGACTTTCACCAAAACCCAGAGGCCAAGCTCCTCCTCTTTGTGAGCAGCCTGACCATACTAGTCACAGGACACACTGGGGTAAATCAAGCAGCAATGCAGTACACTTGCCTGTTGCTAGGAAACGTAGAGTAGCCAGTAGAAGCTGAGGTGATATTTTAACCTTCATTTCATTGTCCATGTGCTTGAAAGCCGAGAAATCCTGCTTCCTCTCTCGATGGGTGATTTTCTTTTTTGTTTTGTTGTCGGCTGTTGGAAAAGTGGGATGATGGAAAGAAAGTTCAATGCTGTGTAAAACGCCTTTCCTCGTATATTTTCAAATGTATATTTACAATGATATATAAAGAAGTTTCTGTAATGTTAAGTGAAATTTAAAAGTGAAAGCTAAAAGAAATGTCACGACTTAAAACCATGCCATAGCAAGAGACTGGGGAAATTGTGAGGTAGTTTAACATTAACATGAGTTATTGTATAACTCATTCATACGACATTAGACACTTCATTTTACAATGTACTATTTAAGCTGCTTTGTAAAGAAAACACAAGTCTTTCATGGCACATACTGTATAAGTCTGTCTCATCCAGGATTTCAGACTTGATGATTTCTTCAATGACGTCCTCTAGGGTGACAATGCCAAGCACTTCATAGAACGGGTCGCCTTCTCCTTCGTTGTTAACCCGCTGGACTATTGCCAGGTGAGATTTACCTAGGAAGTAACAAAGTTGTTTAGATGTCGGTTTAGACTCAAATCACTCTTGTTTTAAAAATGTAAACTGTTTACATATTTAAAAAAAAATATTTACACTTACACAATGTCATACATGTGAAGGCCACTGTCAAAGAAACCTGGGCTTCCATACCACCTCAGCAGTGCCACAAACTGATCACCTCCATGCCACGCTGAATTGAGGCAGTAATTAAAGCAAAAGGAGCCCCTACCAAGTATTGAGTACATGTACAGTAAATGAACATACTTTCCAGAAGGTCAACAATTCACTAAAAATGTTTTTTTATTGGTCTTATGAAGTATTCTAATTTGTTGAGATAGTGAATTGGTGGGTTTTTGTTAAATGTGAGCCAAAATCATCACAATTAAAAGAACCAAAGACTTAAACTACTTCAGTCTGTGTGCATTGAATTTATTTAATACACGAGTTTCACAATTTGAGTTGAATTACTGAAATAAATGAACTTTTCCATGACATTCTAATTTATTGAGATGCACCTGTATATTGCCCTATATTAATAGTGATCTTGCCTTATATGTTACTAAGGCAATATATAATTTTCTTATACTTAAAATAAAATATTATAATTCTCTGTGTAGATGAAGGTTTAAGTTTATAACATATACCAAATCCCCCATTAAAATATGTATATGTGCATATGTGCATATGTGCATATGTTAATATTTATATGATTTTATATGGTATTGTTTGTGGCAACCATACATGTCAACAATATATATGTTATTTATATATGCAACTTTGTTTAAACCGCTTAAATACACAAATCTGTTTTGTAATTTATAAAATTTTAATGCACGTCTATCTTTTATATTTCCTTATATAACATTTAGGGTGGATATGCATGCATATGATATACAGTATATGTCCAAAATGTACATTTTTACTTCATATGACAACATATTTCATATACTGTATGGATATACGTTTCATTTGTGCATGGGTAAAAAGGAATATTTACACATGTGAAATGTGTTTTCTAACTGTAACGAAAGGTAATCAAGTTTAAAGGTATGGTTAAAGGTACTGAAAAATAAAAAATTGTCTTACCCACTTCATGTCATTTCAAACCTGCGTAACTTTATTTTCTGTTCAGAACACAAAATAACACTGGACCTAATTTCCTTTCCAAATGCTGAGTTATTTTATTGTGTTCCACAGAAGAAAGTCAATCAAACAGGTTTGGAACAACATGAGAGGGAGTCAATGATGACAGACTTCTCAATGGCTGTTGGCCGTCTGATAATGGTATTAGCATCAAAATGTTTGACAACAGCAACAATCCTACTGTGGTTTCTACACCAGATCTTAACCAATCCTACACTTACTAGTTATTTCATTACACTCTGTACCTGTACAATCAACACTCTACAGTGTCTCAGAGCGTCTCTGGCATGAAATTACTAAGTTCAAAAGTCTGACCCTGTTTCCCAAAACACTGAAGTGTTTTGTCTTTGATATTGAAGGTCTAGAGGTCTAGAGTAACTGGGTTCCGTCTCAAAACATTATCTATTGTGTCTTTGAACAAAAGTAGTCCAGTCTTGGTGAGAAATATCCACTGAAGTGGACAAATATGTCATAAGCCTTGTGCTCTTTTAAAAAGACTTTCGAAGAAGGATGGAACAAGCTCCTGTTTCTCATAATTGGTGTTCACTTCAACTAAATAAACACTGAAAGCCTGTAAAAGGACATGGGTGAAGCTTTAATACATATCCCAAAGACAAAAGTGCAAACTCTTTTTGTGTATACCGTCAAGCAAAACACCAAACAAATTCTTCGCCTTTTCTCAGCTTGTGAACTTTTAGAAAGAATTTTCCAGAGAGCCAGGCTAATATTAGCCCTGAAATGAAGTTTCCATTCCACTTGGGCAATATTCTCACCAAAGCGACTGCTGGGTGATCTGATCTGTCTCAGAGCTGGTCGTTTACATGCAGATGGCCATTTGCTGAAATACTAGGAAGCCTGGGACGCACTTGTGGCAAACCCCATGACAACACACAAACAATGATTGGGTATAAATCTCTGCTTAAGGAGTGTGGCATTAACTTGAGTGTGTGTATCTTCTTTTCCTTATTTTGCCTCTACAATGGCTTTAGTGAACATGAAGCATGTAGCATGGGAAAAGTGTACTTTATGTTTGCAATCTTATATTTTTTTTACATCACCAAGTTTGGAATTAATTACATTATTAAAAATAATTGCAGTGTCTTATTATCCCATAAGGAAATTTAACATATGGCATATACCCATAGAACAACATATTTTTCATACAAGTACATTCTCAGATAAAGATGTAAGTTTACAACATATCTAAAATCCCCTTAGTAAATTAAATTTGTATATGTACATATGTTAATAAAATCGATATGATGATATTTGTATGGTATTATATGTGGTAACCATTTGTCAACATTTATCTATATATTATGCAATATACATGCTTGTGAAGACTTACAGAAAACGTTTGACCTCTGTCATTGCCAACAAAGGGTATATAACAAAGTATTGAGATGAAATTTTGTTATTGACCAAATACTTATTTTCCACCATAATTTGCAAATAAATTCTTTAAAAATCCTACAATGTGATTTTCTGGATTTTTTTCCTCATTTTGTCTCTCATAGTTGAGGTATACCTATGATGAAAATTACAGGTCTCTCTCATCTTTTTAAGTGGGAGAACTTGCACAATTGGTGGCTGACTAAATACTTTTTTTCCCCACTGTATGTCCAAAAATGCAAAAAATACATAAACATACATATTTGTAAGGACTACATATATGTTAATATATGAAATAGCTGAAGCAGTTTCTTATATGTGTTTACTTCATATAAAAATATATTTCATATGTGTTCAATTTAATACACACGTATTACATTTGCGTATGGGTTAGACAAATAACTAGGGATGCACCGAAATGAAAATTCTTGGCCGAAGCCAAAGCCGGACAAAATGAAACACGTGTTTCGTGTTTTCCCCCCATGTATTTTGCCAAATGTTTTCACCATTGCATAAATTAAAAACCCAAACAATAATTTAAAAATATTTCCTAAACACTGAACATTTTTTAACATTCTAGCAGACATTATACCAACAAAACACAATTTAACTTAAAATTAATTAGTTAGTAAAATATTTTTTGTCATTTTTGAGACCCCCTTCTTGATTCAGGCATGTATTTTTTTTACTGTACAAATAAATGCTGCCTTGCTGAGCAGAAGAGAATTCTTTTAAACCATTAGAAAATATTTCATATCCCACAGATACAAATCTATTACAGATTTGAACACTATGTGTGAATGTTATAATAAATGTGTTAAAGGTGACATATCATGAAAATCTGACTTTTCCAGGTTTTAAGTGCTATAATCAGGTCCCCGGTGCATCTACCAACCAAGGAAACGTGAAAAAGATGAATCCAGTAACTTTGTTTTGGGAAGCCTTTTTCTGCAAGAGTCTGAAAAAACGAACGCGTCTGATATCGCTCCCCTAGTGAAGTTTATCAGAAGTTTAAACTAATATGGTTTAAAACGCATGATTTCAGCGAGATAAACATGATAATCAGAACCAAAACGGATGTTTGTTTAGCATGTACGAGCTGTAATGGCGCAGCTCTATTCTGGAAAAGTGGGCGGGGAGCAGCAGCTCATTTGCATTTAAAGAGACAACGAGATTCTGCTTCCACTCAAAATAGACATTTTCAAAATGATATAATAAATGATCTGTGGGGTATTTTGAGCTGAAACTTCACAGGCACATCCTGGGGACACCAGAGACTTATATTACATATTGTGAAAAGGGGCATAATATGTCTCCTTTAATAAAGGCCTAGCTGTTGTAATTATTATTATCATTATTATTGTTTTACTTTTTTATTTTACTTTACAGAACAACAGTAAAATTACAATACTAACATTTATGAATGTTGATGGAGCTTTTATTTTGGCGGAAATCCCCAGGAAGAATTCAGTGCTTCTTTTTGTTGACAACAACAGATTTATAAATGATTCTCATTAAGAATTTGGGAAGATGTTTGTCGCACGTATCACATTGTCACATGCCTTTAAAAAATGTTTAAGCGCAGATTTTCCTCGCGCCGTGAGCTCGTGCAGCGCTGTTTGAATACATGCAATTCATACGTGTACTAGAAAGCATTATGTTCTGCAGTTTATTAACTTATTGTTTAAGGCCATTTCGCGATTTCAATCATCATACAGTAACCAGCAACAGCCACCCTTCCACTTCTCATTGAAGACATGCGATACAGTACTAAACAGTCTCTCGCTGTCGGTGCTTGTTATGATTTTTTATCTTTCTCGGACGGTTTTAAATGCTTCCACACTGCTGACATGTTTACTGCATTAGTGCGCGCCTATATTTCATCGTGTCACGTCATTGTTCGGTACAAATTCAGTTCATCCCTACCAATAACCTCTTGTCTGATCTAGATTCTTGTCCAAACAACCCATCTGCACAACACTATAATCTAAATCTACAAATCTCATTCAAGGTCAGACAAACTTAAACAACTAAATCTCAAAAGGAACCTGAGTTACACTAGTTCTTAGGGGTATACTAGTTCTTAGGGAAATACTAGTTCTTATTTGATATGTGACAATGAAGATACTTGATAGCAAGGGTTACCAGTGTTACCACAGAAAATAACTCCACAAGACAGTGTTTTAATAACATCAGTCAACTCTTTGTATGCAAGTGGAAATGAATCACCCTTGAAGAGAGGACGTAAGGGCAAGGGTCAAGGGGTAGTAGAAGCCACAAGACTAAATAAATATGTGCTCAAGCATTAAATCTCTGCACACAAAGAGGGGTTTATTCAGGCCACAGTGGAAAAAAAAACATGTTTACTTTATGTATTTTCCCTCATAGGTTCCCTTGAGTACACCATATCTCACCCCTTCAAGGAAACAAGGATATTAGCTTCTCATCTGTTCTCTGCAGGGATTATTTCTATCCCCAAAAAAGAAAAGATTACAATTTGGTTTCATTATTTGTGAGGTCACAGCTTGAATAAAAGAAATCTCACCGATTTGAAGCTACTACCATTTTTTGAAT